TGGAGCCTACAGGGCGCTGCACAACCTGCCCCGTCCTCTCCCTGCCTCCCCCTTCTTCTTTTCTTTCTTGCTGCCTCTGCTCCAGCCACACAGGTGCCTCTCTGTGCCACCAACATGCCCTGCCCTAGGGCCTTTGCATGGGCTGTGCTCGCTGCCTAGAATTTTCTTCCTTGGACATCCCTGGCACTCTCCCTTCCCACCTTTAACCTTCACTCACAAGTCACCTTCTTAGGAGGCCTCTGGGTCGACCTGATGAAACTTTACACTCTGTAGCATTTATGATTCCCTTTCCCTCTTTTATGTTTCTCCTTTCTGCCTCTGCTTCCTGCCACTCCATAGCTAATCCTCCTGTGCTCTTGGTCTCTCCTCACTGGAGTGTAGGCTCTGTGAGGACAAATATTTTAAGAATTTTTTTCCCTGTACCAGGGATTGAACTCAGGGGCACTCGACCACTGAGCCACATCCCAGCCCTATTCTGTATTTTATTTAGAGACAGGGTCTCTCTGAGTTGCTTAGCGCCTCCCCATTGCTGAGGCTGGCTTTGAACTAGCGATCCTCCTTGTCTCAGCCTCCGAGCTGCTAGGATTATAGGCATGCGCCACTGCGCCCGGCAAGAATGTTTTTATTAGTGCATTTTAGTTATGCATCATATTGGGGTTCATTTTGACATCATTGTACAAACATGGAATATAATTTGCTCCATTGCAATCCCCAGTCCTTCCCCTTTCCCTCCCTTCCTCTCTCCCCAGTTCCCTTCTTTAACTCTATTAGTCTTCCTCTATTGGTTTATCATTTGTTATTGGTGCTTTGTAGATGTCCATAAAGGCGGAGCTCACTGTGGTGCATTCATGGATGTATACAGCATAACTTGGTCAATCTCATTCTGCCAGAACAGAGACTTTTGTCTGTTTTGTCATCCACTTCTATAATCCCATATTTAGAACTGAATCTAGCACATAGTAAGTGTTTGATTAACACGAATAATACATGAAAGGCCTTACTCAGCACAGCATGAGGCACGTGGTACTTGCTCAATAAGTGTAAGTTCTTTTCCCTGAAATGTCAAAGGAAACTGAGTTTTAGAAAGAGAAAATGAGTCCATCTGCTATGATATGGATTTTTTTTTTCTTGGTCCTGGGGATTGAACCCAGAAGTGCTTAACCACCGAGCCACATCCCAGCCCTTTTTCTTTCTTTATTTTGAGGCAGGGTCTTGCTGAGTTGCTGACAGCCTTACTCATTTGCTGAGCCTGACCTTCTCCTTGTGATCCTCCTGCCTCAGCCTCCTGAGCTGCTGGGATTTTGGGTGTGCACCACTGGGCCTGGCTATGATCTGAATCTTAAGCGTCTCACAAAGGCCATGTGGTGAAAGCTTGGTCCCCAGGGTGGCTCTGTTGGGAAGTGGCAGAACCTTTAAGAAGTGCGGCCTGATGGGAGGTCTTCCAGTCGTTGGGGGTGTGCCCTCAAAGGGGCTCATGGAAGGCCCATCTCTTCTCCTTCTGTCTTCCACTTCCCTGACTTGAGGTGTGCAGTGTTGCGCCACCAGGCTCTCCACCGTGATGTGCCATTCCAGGCCCAAGGCAATGGGCCAGCTGATCCCAGACCAAAACCTGCAAAACAAGAGCCAAAACAAGGCTTCCCCTCCCCCTTCCTTTATTTATTTATTTTTGATACCAGGGATTGAACCCAAAGGTGCTTAACCACTGAGGCACTTCCCCACTCCTTTATATATATATTTTTTTAATTTTGAGAGAGAGTCTTGCTAAATTGTGTGGAGCCTTGCTAAATTGCTAAGGCTGCTTTGAATTTGTGATCCTCCTGCCTCAGCCTCCCCAGTGGCTGGCATTACAGGCATGGCCACTGCACCTGGCCCCTTCCTCTTTTATTTTGCAGACTTGGGGATGGAACCTGGGGGGCTGTTCTGCTGAGCCACATCCCTAGTCCTTTCTATTTTTTATTTGGAGACACGGTCTCCCTAAGTTGCCAAGGTTGGCCTGGAACCTGTGACCCTCTTGCCTCAATCTCTTGAGTGTCTGGGATGACAAGCATGTGCTAAGACTTTTCTCATAAGTTGATTGTCTCAGGTGTTTGTTATAGTGATGGCAAGCTGACTAATTCATGCTGCATGTTGGTTAGCTAAGCCTCCTAAATCTCAGCCACATTATCGTGGGATATAAGAATATGGACAGGAAAGCAGATGTTAATTATCCCCATCAAATACAATTAACACTCAGTGCCTGGGTAGCTGCTGTTAAAAATGCCAACTCTTGTTGGTAGCTGTAATGTTGTACAGTTCTTTTGGTTGCATGATCCCAAGAGAGCCATGTCCTTTGACCCAGTGACTGCACTTGTGGAAAATGATCCTAGGAACATAATTTAAAGAAAGTAAAAACACAAAATAGAAAAAAAAAACCCACAAAATAGTTAGCAAGATTTAATCCATTATATATTTTTTATACCCACTCCCTGATCTCTTCTTTGAATGCATGGAAAGTCAAATGTACATAAGTGCATCTATATTGTCTAGCTATTGCTTTGTAACAAATTACCCCAGAACTCAGTGGCTTACAATGACATTTATCATCTCATCCAGTTTCTGAGCACCGATTAGTAGGGTGTTCCAATGTTTGAAGCATAAGGATATAAAGTTCAGGATTTGGATATTGGCAGCCAGTGAGAGGGTCTGCAGTGTTTGGATTATCCAGGGTGTCTCACAAGGCTGCAATCTGGATCTTCTTCCTGCCTATCTGTCTATCTATCTATCAATCAATCATCTATTTTCTATCATCTATCAATTATCTCTTTCTATATTCTGAATTTTCTATTTTTTTTCCTACAGTGAATTTGTATAATTCATTGTTGTGGGTTAAATTATATACCCTCAAAAGAAGTGTTCAAGGGGCTGGGGATGTGGCTCAAGCGGTAGCGCGCTCGCCTGGCACGCATGTGGCCCAGGTTTGATCCTCAGCACCACATACCAACAAAACATGTTGTGTCCGCCGAGAACTAAAAAATAAATATTAAAAATTCTCTCTCCCTCTCTCACAAAAAAAAAAAAAAAAGAAGTGTTCAAGTCCAAGTGCACTTACGTAGCTATTGGCTGGGGTTCCCCACTGTATGGGCTTCTCCATAAGGCTGCTCAGGACCTGACGGCTGTCTTCTTTCAGAGTAAATGACATGAGAGCGAAGCAGGGAGAGTCCAGGATGGTAGCCGCATTGCCTTAACCTTGAGACTGTGCAGTTGTCACTCAGAACCCCTGGAGAATCAGTTCCAGAAGCCCCTGCATGTACCAAAATCAGTGCATGCTCAAGTTTTTATATAGAATTGTGGATTATTTGCATAGAATTTCTGTACATGCTCCTTAAACATGAAACCATCTCTCAATGACTTATAACATCTAGCACAATGTAAGTACTATGTAGGTAGTTGAAATACTGTCTTGCCTAGGGATACCAACCAAAAATATATTCATGTATGTTAGATTCAGGTGCAATTTTCCTGAATATTTCCATCTAAGGTTGGTTGAGTCCATGGATGCAAAACATGGATATAGAGAGCCAACTGTAGTCCTATCACAATGCATTTATGTACTGATTATGTATCTATCAATCATTAATCTATTTCTACATATATTATAAATTTTTTATTGCTTTCTACAATGAATTCAAATTACTTGCTGTTGTGAGTGGAACTGTATGCCCCCAAAGAAGCTCTGAAGGTCTAAGCTCTGGAACCTGGGAATGTCACTGTATTTGGAAAAGAGGGTCTTTGTAGATGTAATCAAGATCAAGTGAGTTCACCCTGGAGGGGGGCGGGGGGCTCCAATCTAGTGACAGCATCATTACAAGAAGAGGAGAATTTAGACACAGAAACGCAGACGTGAGGGAGAGGGCCACGGGAGGGCAGGCAGGTCTGGGAGTGATACCTCCCTGAGCCAAGAGCACCAAGGACTGCAGTCTGCCAGAAAACTGTGGGGAGAATGTCCCCAGCCAAGGTCTTGCTTTCAGACCCCCAGCCTCCTGAATTGTCACAGATGAATTTCTGTTTTATTCACAGTAGCCAAATGGTAGGGGGTCCATTGGTGGATGAAGGGATACATACTGCGTGGTCCACTCACACAGCTGAGTAGTATTCAGCCAGAAAAAGGAAGGGGTTCTGAAGTACGTTACTTTGTGATTGACCTTGAGGACACTGTGCTCAGGGAAATGAGCCGGACACAGAAGGCCACATCACGCACACTGCAGGATCCACCCACAGGAGGACCCTGGAGTTGAGATCCATGGAGACAGGGAGAGGGGGAGAGGCTAGAAGTTAGTGTTGAAGGAGCGAGAGCTCCAGTTTGGGGAGATGGGAAGTTCTGGAAATGGATGGTGGGGACAGCTGCAGAGCATCGTGAGAGCATTTAATGCCACTGGATTGTGAACTTAAACTTGGTAAATAGAGAAAGTTTTATTTTTAAAGTTATTATTATTATTTTGGTACTAGGGATTGAGTCCAGGGGCATTTAACCACTGAATCGCATCCCCAGCCCTTTTTATATTTTGAGACAGGGTCTTGCTAAGTTGCCTAGGGCCTCACTAAGTTTCTGAGGCTGGCGTTAAACTTGGGATCCTCCTGCCTCAGCTTCCTAAGCCACTGGGATTACAGGCATGTGCCCCTGCACCTGGCAAGATGGTACGCTTTATGTCATGTATATTTTATCACAATAAACATGTTTTAACAAATTTTATTTTTTAAACCACTTGGCTTGTGGTAATACGACAGAAAACGAATGCACATGTAGAATCAAAAAAGAAAATAGAAAAATAGAAGAGGCCATGAGGTAGACTCCCTCCCTGCTACTGCTTCACAGACAGAGGTAGAAACCGAGGCTCGAGTCTGAGTCGCACAGTCCCTTGGAGCTGTGTGCGCATGAGATGAGAAACAGTCCCATGTCCCTTCCCTCTGGGTAGATGGGGTCCCACATCCACCCACCTCTTTTCAGAAAAGAAAATACAATGAAAGAGCTTAGAAAATTTATTCCTTTTGTTCTTTTCCTTTGAAATAACACACAGGCAGGGAGAGGGCAAGTGTCGTGGAGGGAGGTGGAAGCCGGGAGGGATGGTCCTCTAGGCCCCAACATCCCAGTCCTCTTCACAGTCCCTGATGGGGTTCCCCAGGCACCGGGTAGCAGTGGAGAGGGGCCCCATCATCCTAAGCTCAGAATCCAACAATAAAGTGCAGGAGGGATGGGAAGGGGGAGTTGGGGGCTTGGGTTTGGGGGTGGGGGTTTGCTCCTCTCTCTGATAGAAAAATAGACCTGGAGTGAGTTTGGGGTTTGGGTTTTTGTTTGGTTTTGTATAATTGGATGCTCGAGTGTAGGGAAGGGTGGTCGATGAGGATTTGTTCCTGGCTTGCAAATCTTTGAAGCCCTGGAAGGGCTGGCAGTGCTAGGACGGGGGACCCCCCGAAAGTCTCTGGTCTCAGACCGCCTGTTTGCCAGCCCCCAAGAACAAGAGGCCGGGCCCTCCAGAGGACTTAAGCTCTGGGGTTATGAGCTGATCAGGTGTGGGGGGGTGCTGCAGGGTGGGGTGGGGTGGTCTGAGGGAGCAATAGCCCACAGGGCCAAGAGGGGTGTCCATGCTGGGTGGGGGTCAAGCATCCATGCAGTCACAGGAGACACATCTCCCCCCTTGCTGCCTGGCCATGAGCTACATGAAGACATGAGACAGAGCCCCTGGGTTCTCTGGAGCTGGCAGCTGGGCCTCCCCAGGTCTCCCTGGTCTGTGTGATCCTGAGCCATGGTAAGCTGCAGTGTGTCTCTGGGATGGGGACATGTGGGATCATGGTGCTGTGATTGGCCTTTTGGGATCTAGACTGGGGGTCTGAGCATTTGGGAGGTAGGGGTCCAGGGCGTGGGATCCAGTGCTGGCAGGACTGGGCGTGGGGACTGTCTGGAATCTGGACTCCAGCAGCTGCACCTGCCAGGACCCACTTGCTGTGCTGTTGTGCCCACATTTGTGGTTTTAGGAGCCAGAATCCAGTGGGTTGGGACTTGGGAATCCAAGATCCAGTGGTAAGGGGCAGAGGGCACAGTGCTTGAAATGTAGGGGTCCAGCCGTCGAAGCAGAAGGATCTGGGACCCAGTGTCAAGGTAAAGGAATCAGAATCCAGTGGCTGGGGTGAGGGGATCTGGGTCCAGTGGTGGGGGCCCCAGGATCTAGGCATTGCACTGTCAGGATCCGGTGGCTGAGGTTTCTTGACATCCAGAATCCAGCGGCTGAGCTTGGAGACGGGGCTTGAGGCATGGCGATCTGTGATTCGCCAGTGGGGTTGGGGATCTGGGACCCAGTGCTACACAAGGACACTGGATCTGGACCTGAGGGAGCTGGGGTCAGGGTAATGAGGTATAGGGATGTCCATTCCTGTGCTTGGGGATTGGGATCCATTCACCACGTTGTGGGGGATCTAGGTCCAGGACCCAGTGGGTGGGGCAGGGAAACATAGGATCCACTTTGGGAGCGTAGGAATGCAGGATCTAGGGGTCTGGGAAGGAGGGGATGAAGGGCTGAGGTGTTGATCACTCTGGATCTTGTGGTTCAGGTATGAGATTTAGGTTGCTGAAGTGGGGGATCCAGCAGTTGGGGGTACAGGGATCTGAGATCTAGAGTTGGAGTATTGGGATCCATGGTCAAAGTGTGGGGACCCTGTGATTCAGTGACTGGGGTCTGGGGGTGGAGGATCCAGGATTCGGGGACTGGGATCCTGTGGCTGGTGTGTAGGGATCAGTGGTTTAGGCAGGGGAACTAGGATCCATTGATTGGGCCACTGGTCTCCTGTGGCCAAGGACATCAATGGGGGAACATCAGGACTGGGGTGACGGATCTTGGGGGAGGGCTGGGCTCTGGGTCCCTCACCTGGACGTGACCCCCAGGGCCTGCTTCATGTTCTCGTAGACCACATAGGAGATGCTCACAGCTGGAATGACCTTCATGAAGTTGGGGGCAATGCCCCGGTAGAGGCCCCACACTCCCTCCTGGGACAGGATGTGACGGAGCAGACTCATCATGGAGAGCTGCGGGGAGCCCTCGATGGAGGCTGGGAGGGGGTGGGGGACCAGGTGAGGCTGAAGCTCCTCCTTCCCTTCTCCCTTTTACCCCTCAGGGCTGGGCCAGGTGGCCACTGCCACAGGAAGGAGAGGCTAGACTAGAAGTTGGACCTACCATCAAATCAGGACTTTTTAGTGCCCCCCCCCCCCCAGTGCTGGGAGGGAACCAGGGCATTGTGCATGCTGGGCAAGCACTCTCCCACTGAGCAGCGCCCTGGCCAGAGTCAGGACTTCTGTGGTACTTGAAATTGGCTGTCAATCTTGAGGGCCCAAATTTGGGGATAAATTGAAATGGAGTGGGTGTGCAGTATGTGTGGTGGGAGGAGCTAGAATGTCCTCGTCCTGGAAGTCAACGCCCTTCTCTTCTGGCTAACTCCTAGTCATCTTCCCAACCTCTATTCCAAAGCCAGCTCTTAAGGGGGCCCTCCCTGGCACCCCTGTCCAAGTCAGGATCCTCTTCCTCCCCTTATTCAACCCTTAACCAAAGGTCAATTATGGAATGATTTATTTAGCATCTTTCTTCCTCTCCAGCCTGAACTCCATGAAGGTAGGGACCATGTCTGTCTCATTCACTCATACCTCCCTGGTATCACAAAATGCAATTGCTAAATTCCCAAGGAAATTATTAAAACAGATTCAGGGACAGGGAAAAGAATCCATAAAAGAAAATTTCAGAGAAAAACAATAACCAGCCTGATCCTGAATTTCCTTAACCCAGGTTCTTAGCCTCTCCCCGACCTGGCCTTGCTATAACTCAGCCTTGCAAATAGGAGCTCAAGTTACCAGCCCAGAAAGGCTCCACAATGGCCAGTAGCAGCCTCTGGCTACCACTGCTAGGGAGCTTTGCCAGAACTCTTGCATCTGTTCTGCTAGTTAATCCTCAGTTTCTTGTGGATAAAGGACTCCCCTTTCAAAGTCACCAGTGAGTAAACTGAGGCCCAGAGAAGGGGCAGGACTTATCAAGGCCATTCAAATCCAGGAGGACTCCAGCCTAGGACTCCACCTGTGAGGAGCTGGGGAAGAGAAGGTGCACCCCAGCTGGCCACTCCCCTGCTCCATCCTCCCACCCAGGCCTCACCTTGGGCCTGCATGCGGGTCCGGACCAGGGCCAGGGGATAACTGGCTATCTGGCCACAGGTGCTGGAGATGGTACCGCAGGCCAGGAGCACGAGGATCCCTGGGTTTGCTGATTCCTGGCTATATTGCTGGAGCCAGTGGTTCTTCAGGGTCTGGAGTAGAGAAAGGAGTAGGGTAGGTTGGGAGGAGCAGAGACCAGGATCCTGGTTCCACAGACCTGGTGGCCAGCTTGGTGTCCCCTGGCAGTTGGTGCCAGCTGAGTGCACAGTGCATCCTGGGCTCTGCAGGCACTTGAGCTGCATGCCTTCACTTAACCCCCACCGAGGCCCTCTGTGACAAGGAATCAGAGTCCCTGTGCTCTGCATGCACTGGTCCCTGGAACCTGTGCATCCGTTATCTTCCATGGCACACAGGACTTCGATAAATTAAGGCCAAGGATTTTGAGATAGGAAATATCCTGGCTTTCCTGTCTGGGTTCACTATCATCACAAGGATCCTTATCAAGGGTCGAAAGGCGGGGTGGGTGTAGCTTGGCTCTGGGTTCCATTCTCAGCCCGAATAACAAAGAAAATCAGAGTCAAAAAAGGAGATGTGAAGCTGGGTGTGGCACACACCTATAATCCCATATACTTAGGCCTGAGGCGGGACAGACATCCCAAGTGTGAGGTCAGCAACTTAGGCCTTGTCTCAAAATGTAAAAAGGGTGAGGGTGCGGTAGTTAGGGAGCCCTTGCCCAGCATACACAAGGTCCAGGGTTCTACTCCCAGTTAAAAAAAAAAAAAAGAGAGATAATGAAGACAAAAGCAGAGACTGGTTGGTGGATCAGAAGATTCCACAATTCCTCTGAATGTGGAGGGAGGGGCCACATGAGCCGCGGGAATCATGGAAAGTTGCAAAAGGCAGAGCTGAAAAGGAGGCGGCCACATTTCATAAAGCCCAGCAGGACTCACATTTTGAACTTCTGACCTTCCTAATTGTAAGATAATAAATTTGTGTTGTTTTAAGCCACTAGGTTTGGGGCAGTTTGGTTTAGCCACAGGAAATGAATATGAACCGAGCACACCCTCCAAGGTGGGTGTCCGTGGCTCCGCTGTGGGTGTCCTCCCTTCTCCTTTATTGCTTTGGTTCAGACCTCCTGAGGGCTGCCTGCCAGCACCCATGGAGCTGCCCCCGACCTTCTCTGCACCCACATCAGGATGCTCGGAGCCCTAGGAACTGGAGGCAAGAGCGGGGAACCTGCACCCCCAGAAGCAGCCATCAAAGCGCTGGCTGGGCGTGTTAGTGCTCCAGCCCCCACCCTTCTGGGGGGCATTTTCTGGCTCTTCGGCCAGAGGACCCCAGAGGGACTGAGCTGTGTTTGCCAAGAGTGGCAACTTGCTTGGTAACACACCATTATGAACCGTGAACCCCCACCCACAGGATATGTGCCAATCTCTTTTTTTTTTTCTTCCTGCAGTACTGGGGATGGAATCCGGGGCCACACAGACCATGCAAGCACTGGCCCCTGAGCCACACACCAGCCCTTGTCCTTTTACTTTGAGACAAGGTCTTGCTAAGTTGCCGAGGCTGCCCTAGCACTTGCAATCCTCCTGCCTCAGCCTCCCAAGTAGCTGGGATGACAGGCAGGTATCACTGCACCTGGCTGTGTTGGCATCTTAGGACATGGTCTTTGCAAATAGGGTCTTTGCAGATGTAACTGGCAAAGATGAGTGGGGTGAACTCTCAGTGCAGTAAAAGGAGAGCCGCAGAGATACCCAAGTTAGAGAAAGCCAGTGACGGGAGGCAGAGCTAATGTCCCCAGTCAAGGAATGCTGCTGGGCTCCTGGAACCCCAGCTGCTTGGCAAGCTGAGGCGGGAGCATGGCTTGAGCTCAGGAGTTTGAGGCACTTGGGGTGACACAGTGTGACCTTGGGACTGGTGTCAAAAGACAGACAAAAACAAAAGGAAAGCCAGCAGTGGTAAGGAGCAGACGCTGGAGGCAGTACCGGGACTCCCTCCGACAGGTCTCAGGGGAGTATGGCTCTGGACACTCGAATTTGGGCCTCTGACCTCCAGAGCTGGGAGACTGTCCCTTCTGACTGCGGTAACTGGCCAGCTGGGGATACTTTGTTGCAGCAGCCCTGGGAAATAGACACACATGCCTTATCCCCCCGCCTCGCCTTCTCACCACCCTGCCCTCACATCCCCGTCTCTGCAGCTGCTCTCAGAGCTCCCGTGAAGACAATTAATCCTACTATCTGCATTTGGTAGAGGAGAAAGTAAGGCTCAGGGAAGTTCTTGCTCCAAGCTACAAAATCAAGGTAAGACTCAACATTCAGAGCCAGCGACTCCAGAGCTGTGTGTTTAGTCTTTAGGGTGGCTAATCCCTTCTGAAGCTGCTGCCAAAGCCTTTGTATCTTTTTTTTTTTTTGGGTGGGGGTGGGAGGGTGAGAAGGAGGGTTCCTGGGATTAAAACCAGGGCCTGGTGCCTGCTAGTCAGCCACTCCCTCACTTTCCTGCCAAGGACTTTGTTAGGATAAGACCTTTTGTGCCTTGTCACTAGGGTGGCTTGTAGGTTTCACTTCCTGTGTCAGCTTTAATTCATTGGTAAATGTCTGCCTGGAACCAGAGGTGTTCCGAGGGGGACTCAATGCTGGGATAGATTAGTCATGTCTGGTCCAGGTGTAGATTAGAAAACACAGGCAAGTGTTTACTGTCTTTGCAAATAAATTAATTAAATAAAAATAACATGTAGCTATTTTATTTGTTTTGTATTGAGGCGGGAGTCTCACAGGCTTTTTATGTTGCCGAGGGTGGTCTCCAACTCGGGGCTGAAGTAGTCATCCTACTTTTGCCTCCCAAGTAGCTAGGACTACAGATGCTGGCCTTCTCACCAGGCCCGCCTTTGCCATTTTAATAGTCTTCTTAAGGTTCAGACCCTCATTTGTCAAATAGATTTTAACTGAGTTATTAAGAGCTGTTCTGGAGCTGGGGTGCAGCTCAGTGGTAGAGCACTTCCCGAGCAGGTGCAAGGCCCTGGGTTCCATCCCCAGCACAGGGGTGGGGGCGAAGTGGGAAGGAGCTGTTATGTTGAGGAGGTTCTAAAATAATTGTTCCATCACTTCACTGCAGGACTCGTCAGAGCCTTTAAGGACTAACATAGACTTTGAAACTCCAAGAGGGCACAGGGCTTCTAAGCTTCTTAGCCACGTGAACTCCCTTTTTTGGGAGAAAAATGTATTAAACAGGGTCAGATCCTATTTCTGCTCACAAACCTCCATGGTTTCCCACTGCACTTAGGAAAAACCCGACCCCTCACCAGGGAGTCCGCTGACCTTTCTGACCTCACCTTCTGATCTGCCCAGTTCCCTGGGCTGACCAAGACCGGGGCCCTCTAGCAGGTCAAGTTGGTCCCTGGTTTGTCTTGCTGGGCCCCTGCTGCGCTCCCACTTCTTACTGATGTCATGTCACTGGGCTCCAGTGCCACCTCCAGCCCAAAGGTGTCCCCCCACCTCCAGCCCACCACTGCCGATGATGACAAACCCTGTCCTCCAACTTCTGGGAGCTTCGTGGGAGCTGAGACTCTTATTTGTGGGGTGATGGGCTTCCGGGTTCACTGGGATGAGTGTCCCAGGAGGGCAGGGGTTATGGAGGGCTCATTCTGCACCCTGTGGCAGTGAGCACCCAGGCCAGGCGCACGGCAGGTGCTCACTGGACAGAGGCTAAGTGGACGTGTGAAGGGACAGAGGAACGAGTGGAGGTCTGAACACACAGTGTGTGAACAGGGCCTGTCTCCTTCCCCTGTCCTGATGCTGGGAACTGGGGAACGTGGGTATGTATGGCAGGAACAGACTCAGACCAGGAAGGATGACATAGTTTGTGGGATTCAGTGCAAAACAAAACACAGGGTCTTTTACAAAGAAAAATCACTGAGAATTTCCAGATGAACTAAGCAGAGAGTCACTCAGTGTGGGCACCTCTGAGCACAGGACCTTGGTGACTGCTCTCACACTCAGGGAGCTGGCCTGTCTTGGACAGAAAGGTTTGAGGAGGCCAGGCACCAGGCACTGTGGTGCACACCTGTCATCCCAGCAACTTGGGAGGCTGAGGCAGGAGGATCACGAGTTCAAAGCCAGCCTCGGCAACTTAGTGAGGCCCTAAGCATCTTAGCAAGATCCTGTCTCAAAATAAAATCATAAAAAGGGCTGGGGATGTGGCTCAGTGGTTAAACACCCCTGGGCTCAATCCCCAGTACCAAAAACAAACATATAAGCAAGCGAACAAACAAAAACTGGGAGGATTCCGGGGGATCTACAGCTGTCCTGATTGGAGGACTTGATGACCCCACCAGGAGGAGGCTAAAGCAACACATGAGACCCACAAGGAGAGACAGCAAAAACTCCCCACTCCCGCGTCCCTTGATGAAGGGCCCAAGGTGCCGGTTGCGGGGCTTGGTTTCTCTAGTGACGGTAGATGCTGAGATGCGCAGGCCCTGAAGAATTCATCAGCCTAGGGACAGAGCCTGGGGCTGGTCCATGCTTTGGGGGAGATGCACACCTTGGAGGCTCATCTTTGCCTGCTCTCAGGATTCTTGTGAGCTAGAGTGGCCCCCAACTCCCAGGTGACCACAGAGGGCTGAACTGTAAGTCAAACTTTCTTGCAGCAGTTCATGGCCAGCACACGGAGGGGTTCCCCAGGGTTCCACGCCCATGGTGCTCCTCACCCCATGATTGTCCTTCTCTAGGACAATGGGGAGGTTGACTGGAGGGTGTCCTGTGGGCAAATCACAGAGGGCAGAGGGGCGGGGGCTGCCACAGACCTCATAGACGGCCAGATCGATGCCCGCGTAGGGAATGATGCCCAGCACGTTGGGCAGGTAGCCTCGGTAGAAGGCGCGGGGCCCTTCTTGCTCCAGGATCCGCAGTGCACAGTCCAGCAGCCCCTTGTACTGACCAGTCCGGCGCAGGGTCAGCCGTGTTTTCAGCACCTGGGAAAACTCGGTTATCCCTGGAAAAGCTGGTCCCACCCCCTGCCCAAGTTGTCACTTCCAGGGATGAAGACCTAGAAACAGTACTCCCAGAAGCAGACCCACCAACTAGAGTGACCTGTGGCAGCCACCACTGACTGTCCCCCAACCTCTAGTTCCCTTCTTCCTGAATAACAGAAAGATAACTTTGGCAAGCACATAACCACTAGAGATAAAAACTACACTTCCTGCCTTCCTTAGTGGCCACATTACCAGGTCCTACACCATGAAACAGAAGGAAAAAGGGGCTGGGTTATGGCTCAGTGGTAGAGTGCTTGCCTGGCACGTGTGAAGCACTGGGTTCGATCCTCAGCACCACATACAAATAAAAAAATAAAACAAAGGCATTGTGTCCATCTACAACTTAAAAAAAAAAAAAGAAAGAAAAATAGAAGTAAAAAGAGCTAAGAGCTATGCATGACTATCAGAGGATGGTGTTCCCTCCTTTGTGGCTTAGTCCTTCTTTCCTGGAACTGAAATGTATGAGCAGAGCACAAGCAGCCATGTTGATCCATGAGGTGAGTGCTACCTGCCATGTTAGTGGAACAACAAGGTAGACAGAAGGACCTGGGTCTCTATTGCTCTGAAGCCACCCTTCCAGGCCTGACCTATCGTCTCAAGACTTCATTCATGTTATTTGAATTTCCCGCCATTTTCAGAATCTTAATGATATCCAACCTGAAACCTGAAATGATTTATCTCAAAGTAGTGATGCTTAGAGAGGATACTCCCTGGGAACAAGCATTCTGTCCTCGGCGAGGCATAGCCCTGAACGGCTGAATGCCTGCCTACTGTCCAGTCTAACCAGCGCCGTGGTCCTAGACATTATGGCTGAGACTGTAGCACTAGGTAAGCCAGGCAAGTGATGGTGTTGCTGTCAGGAGCCGGGGTCCCTGACCAGGGAGCGGCAGTTGCCATCCTAGGCATGGTGTGGAGTGAGGAGGGAAATCGCCAGGACTCTGCTCCCAGAGACCTCACCTCCATGGGGTAGATGATGGTCTGGGCTGTGGCACCAGCCAGGGAGCCAGCCACGAAGCGCTCCTGCACCTGCAGCGTCTCCTGCCGTCCCCGGATGGCGTGCTTGATCTGAGGGAGGCAGACACCGGGGGCAGACCCTCAGGGGTGGGGCCTTTCATGTGCTCTACTGTCCCCTGGCTTCCACAGAACTGGACTGCTGTGGGCATTGTGCAGGGGCCCCAGCCATCCCCCTCTCACAGGCCAACCCGCAGGTCCTCATATTTACCCCAGGCTTCCCCACCAAGCACACCCTTCCCTACAGCTGCCCTCACCTGCTCATAGGCCATGAACTTGATGGCTGACTCGGGGGCGATCTTGAGTACATTGATACCATTACCACGCCACAGGGAGAGGATGCCCCCCTCTTGGATCATGCTCCGTAGACCCCCAAGGATGTTGAGTCTGTTGGTCTTTGAGGCGTGAACCTGAGCAGGGAGAAATGGCAGCCTTGTGATTCCCTCCTAGGTCCTGGGCCTGGGGAGCAGGCAAGTCCCTCTAGGCCTCTCACCTGCATGAAGACCTTGAGGCGGTCCAGAGGAGCTGTGCCGGTCCGCGACACCGCGCCTGCCACTGCACCAGCCACCAGCTGCTTCCACCACATGCCCGTCAGCTTCTCCTGCTTTGAGAACTCATCTGGCACTGTCAGGCATTCGCCAATGTCCAGAACCTGAGGACACGGCGGGGTGTCACGTCATGATGGCGTGTTATAGTGGAGGTAGGGAGAAGCACTCCAGTCCTTGGTTGGGGAGTCTCCTCCATGAATCCCAGGGCACCCCAGGGAGCCCATCAGTGGATCTTGCTTGGAATGCACAGAACACTCCTGGATCCCACCAGGTGCCATCAAAACCCCCAACCCAGTGAGTGGCTAAAGGATCTACTGAATCCCGCCTAAGGAGCCACAAAATCCCACAGGAAGTTTGTCCAGTTCCCATCAGACGATCCCATCCAAGCATTTGCCACATAAAGATCTCCAGAGCTATCAGATCCCACTAAAGGGTCTCCTTAAAGGGTCCCCCATGGAAAGATTCCAGAAGATTCCTCTGGTAATACACAACATCCCACCAGGAACTTCTCCTGTGCAGACCCCAGCAGATCCCTCGGGTGCCTCCTAAGATCTCTGAGATCTCCTCCACAGGAACTGTCCCCCAGAAGCCATCGTCCCTTTAGAGCCCACTGAGAGAACTGATTATTTCCTACTTCCTTCCAGTGGATCCCCCTGGACCCCCCACCCCCACCCAAAGCCATGGGCTTTCTGACTTTTCAGGTCAGTAGCAGAATCCATCATTCAGGCAGAGAGAATCCAGCAGAAAGGGAGCTGTGTGGGCTGAGGGTGGGAGGCTAGAACCCCATCTGGAGAGTTCTTTCTTCCTTGTAGCCTCCAACCCTTCCGTCTGCTCCTGGAGGCCCCTGATTGAAGCCCAAGTAAGTCTGAAGGGCTTTGATCAGACAGCAGAGACACCCCAGGCTGCTGGACCCCAAATGAAGGGAGAAAGGAACACAGCTTCACCCCCCAGCTGCCTCCATCTCACAAGTCCTGGCTCAGCCCTTCCCAGCCCCAAGCAGCCCGCAGCCAGCCCACCAGGGAGGAGGCACGGCCCCCACCTCACCGTGGAATGCTTCCAGAAATAGAGCACGTCCTCCACATTTTCCAGAGAATGCAATAGAAAGTGGTCACGCCATTCCTGCCAGTCGATGGTCATGGTGCCGTCGCGGTCCATGCTGGAGTTGGGGTGGGGACAATCTCAGTGTCTGGCTCTGGGGAGAGGTGCTGCCAGGTTTTGCAAGTCTGGGGCACACTGAGAGCTGCCCACGTTTCTCGGACTGTTCTAACCACACTCCCGGGCTGTCTGGTGTTGGTCCTCCATACCAAGCCTACTGGGTACTCCCACGATTACCCTTAACTTGCAGAGGGAGAGCCTGAGGCTCAGAGATTCAAGGAACTGGCACAAGATCTGTCTGACTCCAAAGCCCAACTCAGCTCTACCCTCTCTGGAACTGGGCCTGGGGCCCAGAATATGGAGGTGACTGAGGAGTCCCAGGGGCCTGAGTTTCTGGGATTTCTGGGGCCCAGGATTCTGAACCTCCAGTGACTTACCTGTGTAGGATTTTTTCTGCCTGCTCCAGCGAGATGGAAATGCCCAGAGCTCGAAAACTCTGCTGAATCTCAGAGACATCAATGTGACCTGGAGAGGGCTCAGAGGTTGGAAAGAGCGTGTGTGGGAATCTTGGGGTACCCCAGGACCACGGATCAGGGCAGGCTGGAATGGGGCATGGACTAGCAAGACCAGGAGGTCCAGAAACCCAGGGTTGTAGGGACTGCTTGGAGGTAGAATTAGGCAATGCTGGGGAGTCCTCTGCTCCATGAGTGAGGGATCCAGTGGCAATGATAGAGGTCCCTATGTCACAAGGGATTTAAAGACAATACTTAGAACCCACAGATGATGCTTAGTGGGTATCTACCCCATAGGAAACCTAGAAGCAATGTGGGTGATCTTTGTCCCTGAGAACTAGGTACCTAAGGGGAAAAACAGGGGTCCCCACTCAGGAAGGGAAAAGGAAGCGGAATGGGCTGGCTGGGACTCGAACCACCTAGTTGAGGGTGAGGAGAATTCCCCAAAATAGCTGGTGAGTCATCAGGGAGAGGCAGCCCTGCCCCCTCCTTCAGCGCTGCCAGTTCTAACCCCATTGGCCCCATCCCCCTGCCTGCAGACTGGCTTTACCGTCCTGGTTCCGGTCAAGGCTGTGGAACATGAGCAGCAGGCGCTGTTCCCGCTCCTGCAGGTAACGGGTGAATTCCTCCAGGTTGAACCCACTCTCTGGATCAGTGTCACCCTCAGGGGAGATGCCCTGGCAAAGGGGAAGGGGACAGAAGGGGCTCCATGAGGCTGCTCCCCCATCTGGAGAGGACACAATGAGCATTATGCCACAGGAACCTTGAGCCCCCAGCACTTGCAGGAGGGCTACAGGGTACATCATCCCCCTCCCTTGATCGGCTCACTTCCCAGCAAGATGCCCAAGACCACAACAGGCATGTGAGGTGCCTGGCATTGTCCAGTTTTCCTGGCAAACAAACTGAGGCTCTGCAAAGTCAAGAAACTGGTTCAAGGTCACAGAGCTGGGAAGTGGTAACCTTGGGTTCTTGTCTCCAAAGCCTGTTCTGTCTCTTATAAAAAAACCTGTTCACATGGCAGTTTCAGGGGTTCCCTTTAGGAACAGCCCTGGACAATGAAGGGCATGATGGATCCAAGCGAGCTACCGCAGGGTCTCCATATTACCCATCTGGGAAGTGGGAGTTGGACTAAAGGTCTCAAGGATGCTGTGGAGCTGCTTCAGGGGCATCTGGGAGCTAAAGGTATGAGGGACACCTGCAAGGAAGGGGAGGGAAGGCAAGTTTCTGCCTTGATCCCCAGCTGGGAGTGGCCTGGGACAGGTTGGAGTCCCTGGCTGGGGCAACGTGGGGCACTGAGCCAGCCCAGGAAAGGACAGGCAGGGAATGTAAACAGAGGGACTGGCTGGGAGGGCAGTGGGTGCCCTCAGGGTGGGGAGGGTGTGTCCTCTGGATGTGGGAGCAGGCCATGTCTTCTTGGGTTGTGCAAAGGCCAGAGGAGGGTGTGTCACAGTCAGTGGGCAGAAAAGCGCCCAGCTCTATTCCCTGGCAGGCATCCCCCACCCTCGAGGGTACCCGGCGCTGGCAACCAAATTGCAGGCCTGGGGCCTTGGCGGCCCTGTCTTGCGATCCCGTTAAGCCAGACACGGGTGGGCAGGGGGAAGGGAACCGAGTCAGGGGACCTGGAGTCCAGCCACAGGTCGTCAGTCCTCCGCGGCTCCAGCCGCCCCATTCAGAGGCTCGGGTTACTGGGCCGGCAGAGGCCACAGTGCAGCGCGCTAGAAGGGTCCGGCGGGAGTACCTGTTGGGCGCCACGGTCTGGGTCGCCCCCGCCCAGCCTGGCCAGTCCCTGGCGCAACTCGTGCACGTCCACGCGGCCATCCTTGTTACTGTCCAGCTCCTCGAATAGACGACCCCAGGGGCTTTGCGGCTCCCCCTCCCCCCCGAGACCCTGCAGGGCTAGCTCCGCGGCCACTGGCACCGCAGCCTCTGCGCTGCCCGCCGGGCTCTGGCACTTGCTAGAGGTGCTAATTGCTAGCCGTCGCCGCCTGCTCCAGAAGTTGCGTCTCCTCCTCCTACCCGCATGGGGAGGGGGTGGGGTACCGAGGGCGGAGCTGGGGGCGTGGGGAGGGATGTCTAGGATGCTCCGGTTTCGTACAGCCCAAGAGCCCCAAGACTCCTCTGGGAAGAAAGGATAGGTAATTCAGTGTTTTCAGTTTTTGTTTTAGAGTTCCACCTGCTTGCCTCAGTTTACCCTTTTCCGTTCCCTAAAGAGAGCGAGGGAGGGAGACATTAGGGATTGGGTTTCATAATCTCTTTTCACTTGACCTCCCTCTCCTGCTAATCCTATTCAAGAACTAAAGTTCTCGCTTTTTCCAGACGTACGTAAGAACTCTGAGCTGGCTAAGCTTTTCGTCTGCCCGCCCGCGCATGTCAGATTCCCCACTCAGTTACAGAAACTGAAGATCAAGAGGCGTTGCTCGGTGTTCCTTCATTCTGCCCGCGCGCCTTCTTTCTAGGCCTCACTCAAACAGGGAAACGAAAGATCAACACGCGGCGCGGCTGCACAGTCGCTTTCCTATTGGTCAGAGGCCCCTGAGCTGCGCGGGTCCGTCCTTCCCCGCCCGCCCACCTGGGCGGAGCCTCCAGCTGACCTAGACTGCCTTCGCTTTTCATTCCCACCACCCGCCAGGCAGTCTTAAAGGGGCGGATCCAGACGCCGAGCTGACTGCTCTCTCGTGACCTGCCTGACGGACATCTGTGTCCTGGGCGCAGATAGGGGTAAGGATTGGGTGGCGGAGCACTCGAGTTGGGACTTTAGCCAGTCGCTCTCGATGCACCTGCCGAGCGTCCCGCCCACTAGTTTCGGGTGCAGTTTCTGGACTCACCATCAGAGGGCCCACTTGATAGAGAACAATATAATAATAATAATAATAATAATAAAACAACTAACGCTGATTCAGTGCATGGCACATGCCAGACCTTTTACTCGCTTCTCTCATCGTCCTCGTCAAGACTCTAGCTTTCCTACTTTACGGATGAGGAAACAGAAGGTTATACTTTCCAGTCCTCATTCCCACTAAAAGGCAAAGCCGGGATTTAAATTGATCCGGGACCCTTAACCATCTTTCTATATGTTAGAAGGGATTAAAAACCCAGATGTGGTGGCGCACGCCTGTAATCCCAGCAGCTCAGGAGGCTGAGGCAGGAGGATCAAGAGTTCAAAGCCAGCTTCAGCAAAACCGAGGTGCTAAGCAACTCAGTGAGACCCTGTGTCTAAATACAATACAAAATAGGGCTGGGAATGTGGCTCAGTAGTCGAGTGCCCCTGAGTTCAATCCCCAGTACCCACAAAAACTAAATAAACACAACAACCCCCAAAACCCAGACTTGGTGCACTCCTGTAAACCCAGCGATTTGGAGGCTGAGGCAGGAGAATGGCAAGTTTGAGGCCAGCCTGTGCGATTTAGCGAGGCCCTCAGCAACTTATCCAGAGAGACCCTGTGTCCAAAACAAAAAAAAAAAAAAAAAATCAATGCTGAAGTTGTGGCTCAGTGGTGGTATGCTTGCCTTGCACGTATGAGGCCCTGAGTTTAATTCTCAGCACTGCATATAAACAGATAAAATAAAGGTCTATTGAAAACTAAAAATATTTTTAAAAATCTTAAAAATCATATCAAATCAAATCAAAAGGACTGATGTATTTCAGTGGTAAAGTGCCACTGGGTTCACCCCAGTATATAATCATCATCATCATCCATTTATTGGTACTGGGATTGAACTGAGGGTGCTTGACCGCTGAGCTGTAGCACCAGTCCTCCTATTATTTGTTTGTTTATTTGTTTTGAGAAAGCATCTCTCTCTCACTAAGTTGCCCAGGCTGGTCTTGACCATGTGATCCTCCTGCCTGAGACTCCTGAATGGCTGGATAGAGGCTAAGCCACCACTCCCAGCTAATTTCCTTTTAATCATCACTCTTTACCCCAGAGTCCTCTGGAGGGGTCTTGTGACTATCATCACACTTCATCCAGAGATACAGCTTTGAGGGCTCATTTGCTTCTCGCCCTGCCTCTGCCCAGAAAGCTGTGCTTGAGTACCTCTGTAGCTTGCAGATGTTTTCATTCCTGGGTGTTCCTTACGGGTGCCCTACAATATTTGGGATACAGATGTTTTCCAATGAGATGCCCCAAGTATGTGTTTTCTCACAAATGTTTCCCTGACAGTTGGCCCCGGTACGCTTGCACCTCTGTCCTGACGATTCTCCCCACAGATGTGCCTCAGTGCTGAGAGTGCCTCAGGTGATTCCAGGTCTTCCCTTGTATACAAGCGTTCTTTATTCAAGGAAATTTGTCACCTCACAGGTATGTTTTGCAGCAGGCGTTCCTCTGTGAATGCACGTACAGCTCCCCACGGTGTGTTTCAGTTAAATATTTCCCTTTATGGGTATGTTTCCGTATCAGTGGGTCCCCTGCAGGTGTGTTTTGGACAGTTATCTCCATACCTCTCCACACAGGAATTCCTCATACAAGTGGTGTGCATTTCGTAGGTGAGCTATGCATTCTTTTCCAGAGCAGGTGTAGGACACCCAGGAGTGCCTCGGTCTGGTGTTCGTTCTAATGCGCATGTTTCCAACACAGGTATGCTTCCATTCAGCTGTACTCCGAATGGATGAGATTCGACGCAGATGTCTCGGTAAGTATTCTTACAGGTAAACATCCCTGCCCATGTCTCCTACACGGATTTGCTCCCAGCCAGGTGCTTACTACACAGGTGTCTTTCATTAGGAACTCTCCTAATGAAAAGTGCCGAATCTACCCAGGCGCGGTGCCTCACTCACCCGTGCCTGCATGCCCCGAGTATCTCCACACCTGTACGATCCTGAAGATGTGCCAGAAATACCGGTGTCAAGGCCTCACACCTGCGCGCTCGGGCCCTTTCGCTACCCCGCCACGGTGGATTGGATTCCCGTTACAGGTGCGCCGGCGGCGCGGCCCCGCCCCTCTTGACTCCGCCCCCTCTTCTAGGCTCAGGTGCACTGGCCGGAAGTGCCATCCCCTCCCAGGTGAGTGACTAAACTTTCCGGGTCACGTGAGCGGGCGGGGCTGGTGGGGTCGGAGCGAGCGACCGGCGGACTGACCCAGGGTTCGGGTGAGGGACCGGGACAGGGAGCCTGAGTGAGGTCAGAGACGTCCGGCCAGGTAGGGAGGTGGGCGCTCAGCAGGCTGCCCCCGCCCCCACCCTCTTGCCCTTCCCTCTCCCGGCCCAGGAACGCGGCCCGGGAGTTAATTTTTAATCTCTAAACTCGGCCGCGGGGGCGGGGCGGGATCCGGGGTGTCCTGGCGCTCGTCGCCTCTGCCCTGGGCCTGCGCCTGGGTCCAGCCCCAACCCCACGCTCCGGCCTCTCCTCTCGTCCCCAGGTGCTGGGTCTCAGGTACCCTCTGCCCAAGATGCGGTAGAAGCGGCGAGCGCGAGAAGCCCGGGCCGGCGCCGCCAACCCGTCGCCCAGCCCATGGCGACCCCAGCCCTGGGGCTGCTCTTGGCGCTCGGCCTGCCGCTGCTGCCGGCCCTGTTGGGCCGAGCCTGGGGGCAAGGTAGGTACTCGCCCGGGGCGCGGCGTGCGGATTCCCGGGTCTCTCTGCTGAGGGCCGGCTCAAAGTGCTGGGCACCTGGGGCACAGAGAGGGTCCAGAACTGGGAAATGGGCATGGGTTGCTTTGGGGCGGGGTCCAGGGGTCAGGGTGGGGGAAGAGTTCCTGACTCCTTCCTCGGGCAGCGTGGGCTGCTCTATCAGAACTGAGCTCTTGAGGGGGTGGAATTTGTGGGCTGGGGTGCAGGAGGAAGGCGCTTCACCTGAGCAGGTGAAGGAAGGGAGGCGGTGGACCTGAATGTCGGTTGTCGCGGTTTTGCCAGAGCCAGGAGGAGGTTGCCTGGGTCGCAGGGTCCTGCTGACTTGGGTAGCCTTAGGTGTGGACTCAGCCAGCCACTTCTGCAGTTTCGGCAGCCTGAGGGGGAGGTGTGAGTCAGGAACTCCGGGGCCAGGCAGGACGCCCAAGTCCTTAAGGGCCCTGGGCCGGAGTGGTGGCTGTGGGGGGATGGTCGGGCTTCCGCCAGGTTCTATTATCATAGCCCCCAACTCAACACAAACAACTGATGGCTGATTACTCCCTGCTGGGCTCTGCTGAGCTCTGCTGAGCTGGGCCTGGCCCCAGGCTCAAACTGCAAGGTCGGGGTGGGGGTGGGGGGCCTCTGTAATCTCTCTTCCCATAAGAGACTTGGGGGAGCAATTTTAATTGGGGACTGCTACACTTGTGGGGAGGGGTGCCCCAGGAAGGTGCAGAGGGACTGAGATGGGGATCCATTTATCCTCTCTCCCCAGCCACCACAGCACTGAACACTTCTTCGGGGAATGGCACTACCCCGCCCTCTACCCCTAGCCCCAGGGGTCTGGTGAGTTGGGGTTTATGTGGAAGGAGGGCAGCTGGGATACTATGTAGGGGTCCCCTGTGTGGCAGGTGGAGGGGACTGCCTCCCCACTCCCTAGTGGCAGATCAAGGTGGCACTGGAGAGCCCCAAGTGTGAGACTAGGATAGCAACAGGACAAGGGGGAGACCTAAAGTCCCAGAATAAGGACACCAAGAGTCCTGGCAGGATCCTCATATGACAATCATAAGGAGCCCAGAGCTGGCAGGTGTGGTGGGGGCAGGAGTCCCGGATGTGGCAGGTGGGGGGAGCCTTGAACCCCCAAAGTAGATGAGGATCCTGGAATCCCGGGTGTGGGGGGGCAGATCACCCAAAGTGGCAGGTCTGAGTGTGTGGGGGTTAGGAGCCCCAGATTCCGCTCTTCTGGGATGATTCAGGTGGGTCACATCACACCTGTCCTCTCCCACTCCCCGAAGTCTCCGGAGGCCATTACTGCTATCATCGTGGTTTTCTCCATCCTGGCCGCCTTGCTCCTGGCCATGGGGCTGGTGCTACTGGTACGGAAACTTCGGGAGAAGCGGCAGACAGAGGGCACCTACCGGCCCAGCAGCGAGGAGCAGGTGGGTGCCCGCGCGCCACCGCCCCCCAACCTCAAGTTGCCTCCGGAGGAGCGGCTCATCTGAAGGCTGTGGACAGCTGCAGCTGCCCGCTCTGCCCAGGACTGGCCAACACCCTCGCGCACAGAGCAGCCGCCACTGAGACACCAGCTCTGACGACTCGGGGGCACTGGGGGGCGCTGGCCTGGTGGCTGTGCAGCATGCTGCCTCTGCTCCACTCTGCATGCAGCTGGGGGGCCGGGGCGGGGGCCACTCCTGCTTGCTGCACCGTCTTCGTGTTCACTGTGCTGTGTATTGTCCCCTGCAGCAGGCCCAACAACCCCCTATCCTTTCTTTCAGTTCTCTCACGCAGCGGAGGCCCAAGCCCCCCAGGACTCCAAGGAGAAGGTGCGGGGCTGCCTGCCCATCTAGGTCCCTCCCTTCCTCCATCTCGCTTCCTTGCTGTGTGACCTTGGGGAAGGGGTGACCTCTCTAGGCAATGGGACTCACCCAGTGCTTGAGAATAGAAGGGAAGAAGGTGCTTCAGAGACTTGGCTCCCAAGGGCAGGGGGTGGGGGGCTGCTCACTTTTTATACATTTATGTAAAGTTGTAGTGAGATGTAATAAAGCTTTTTTGAGTTGGTGGGAACATTAGCCTAGATGGAGAGATGAAGGTAGCCGTGACTTGTAAGGTTATGGGGGTCCTAGGGGCGTGAGGGGGCTTCTTGGAAGAGAGTGGCTTTTAGGTGCACCTAGGAGCCAGAAGGGCTGCCCCTGGAGGGGTTTCTGAGCAGCGAGTAGGCCCCCCATAAACTCACCAGGACAGACCAGCTTTGGGCTCTTGTGGCTTTATTGAGGATCCAGGGTCTCCTCCAGACCCCTGATCCTTATCCCTCAAAACACTTCTTAAGATCAGCAACTCGGGGCCTCTTCCTGGCCTGGGGCTCTTGCCAGTCGCTGGTGGGTGAGGTAAGGGTGTTGGGGGTTCCTGGTTCCTCGGGGCACCGGGAGTGAGCATGTTCTAGCAGGACCTTGGGAGGCTGGGTTCTGGGGTTCTTTGGAAAACTGGGGTCTGGGGAAGACTCAGGGGACTGGGGTGTCCTGACAGTATCAAAGTTGGGTTCCACGGGGGCTAGAAGTGGGGGACTTTCTGGAGGGCTGGGCTGGGTGTGTGCCTCGGAGAGCCTGGTGCAAGGGATCTCCCAGGCTGCAGGGTGCTCAGTCGCCTTTGGAAGAGGGGAGAGACGAAGGGTTGAGGGCTCAGTGAGAGGAGAGGACTCGGGGTCCCCTGGGCTGCTTGTGTCTGTAGAAGCTGTTGAAAGCTGGGACGGAGAGATGATTTCTTGGCTGGAGCCTGAGAGCAGCTGGGAATTGGGGTTCTTTGAGGAGCAGGTGATTTCCAATGATGGTGTGTTTGGAAAGGATGGCAGGTCTGCAGGCAGGGACAGGGGCTGGGGCTCTGGCAGTTTCTCTTCATCTGGTTGCCATCTTGTTCTTCCTGGTAGGTCAGGCTGGGTGGGGCATGGGAGGAGAGAGCAGGTTGCTGACCTGCTGCTGAGAAAGAGCTGGCAGGTTGGACGGGCAGTTGGGGAAAGATTGGGTGGGGGGGTGGGGACCCTCTCACCAGGCTGAAGCAGCTGTCCAGGTCCCCTCCGTGACAGCAGTCTAAGCTCTGGCTTGGCCTCAGGCTGCCCATGCTCTTAGTCTGTACACTCAAACTGTCTAGAATCTCACTCAGCAAATCCAGTTCTTCTCCGGACCCCAAAAAGTTGCTGTCCAGAACTTCTTCTGCCCATGGACCCTGGGCATCCTCAGGGCTCAGGGGAGGTGTCCTGGGTGAGAAAGGGCACCCCAGGTTTCCTGAGGCCTCCGCCCTGGTGGGTCTGCTCTAATGTTTGGAGAGCCTTCTGACCCATCCTGGTCTTCCACTTCCAACCTCGGTCCCCTTTGAGCCTTACCTCTCCCCCAGGGGCTCAGAAAGTCCCTTTTCTGGCTTAAGTCTCCTGCTGGGGCGAAGCGGTCTGTTCTACAAAAGACAGGTGTGGAGAGGGCAGTGATGTGGAGCTGCAGAATCAGGGGGCTGGGGCTTTCTGGAGGAGGGTGCGTTTGAAGTGAGCACCAAATTTTGGTGTATGTGAGGAGTGAGGCGAGATGTTCAGGCAGAGACTGGGGGGGACGGGTGGAGGATTTGGTGATAATTCCAGGTGTGCGCCTGGGAAGCACGTTCTTACCTGTCCAAAATGCTGGGTGATAGGCAGGCGCTGCTGCAGGCGATCTGAGCGGCTGGTGAGGCTTGCGGTCCTCAGGGAGCCTCCCCTGTGCAGGCCAGAGTCCCCATCCTAGGAAGAGGATGCAGGACTGGAGGCCCCTTCTTCTTCCCTCCCAGGGCATTGCCGCCCATCATTGATGGCCTTACCTTGTACAGCAGTAGGCTCTGCATTCCTTTCAGGCCACTCTTGGCCTATGGAAAAGCCGAGGGGAGTTAGACCTATGGGTGACTGGACACTGGGCATCTGAGGTCAGCCCTCTGCCCCCTAGCACAGCTGTGCCTTGCCACAGGACCTGTCTCTGTGCCTTCCAAATACGTTCACTACTCCCTGGGCACCACCTCTGAAGTCAACATAAACTTTTGCCCCTTGACTAATACAGAAGCATTTCTGGAGGCCTAACCCCACATAAAACAGGGAGTGGCCCTACAGCCTTGTAAAAATGTGTCACTGTCTCCATCAAACAAAGAATAAACTTGGATGGACAATTTTAAGCCCCAAGAAACTTTCAGGCTTTGGAGAAAAGTCGGGCAGAAGCTGGGATGTATCCTCTGAGGACAGGAGTCACCAGTGAATCTTTGGCTGTCTATGTTAAATGGGCAAGAAGTGATTCTGACCCAGCCGAGCCTGCTGGGGGGGACCTGAGAGCCGGAGGACTGTTCCCAGCTTGGCTGCTACATCAGCTCTGATGAAGGCCTTCGCAGGACTTGCCTGTCAGGGTTAAGTGACCCATCGCCCTTGGAGCTTCAGAACGTCCTCGGTCCCCTCCCCCTCGTCACCCCAGCAGCCTGGCCTATCCTGCCCAGCTCACCGAGCGGTACATGATCCTGACTGCTGGTTGGGTCTTGGCTTTGACCGAATGCAGGAGAGCACCACCACCTTTCTGTGGAAGAAGGTTGCCAAAGGAGAGACTTGGGATGTGGGGCCACCATACTAGGGCTGGGCCCCAGGCCCCACTCCCACCCGGGCTGTGCTGCCGGCCAATTCCCCCACCTCTATAAATGAGCATAATCACGGACCCAATGGAGGACTATTGTGGGATTAAATTAATCCAATCAACATGTAACAGTGTTTGGTGTTACTACCTTTAGGTGGTCGGCCCAGAGCTGATAGGAGCGGAGGGTGCCTGGGGTGAGGAGAGCAGGTATCATCCAAGGCAGGCACTGGCTGGGGCTTGGTAGGGGGAGAACCCGGGAGCCAGCAGGGGGCTCACCTGAGGAATCCCTGCAGCAGCTGATCTCCTGCTCAAAGGTATCGGAGAAGCCCTCCCCCGAGTTGAGCTTCTCCAGCCGGGCTTCAATGAACTGCAGAGGGCACAGGGTCAGACACACCTGTGTGTCAGGGCTGTGTCCGCCCGTGCCCCTTCCTGCCCTCCCAGCTCCTCCAGAGGCCCACCCTAAGGTCCAGGAATCTGGAGCCCACCTCAGGAAACAGAACCTACTCTGTCCTGGCCCCAAGTCAGGAGCTGTTCCCAGGGATCTGATTCCCTGACTGGGACCAAATGAGAAGCCCTGCCCTTCCAGCCTGGCCCGCCCCTTCCTGTGAGCCTGCCTTCAGGGATCCTAGAACCAAGCCTGGCATGGAAGGATTTTGGAGTTCCCCTGCCTTCTCCCAGGAACCCAGGAGTTGGTCCTGCTCCCTATTCCCACATTCCCAGGACCCAGGAGTCCCTACCTACTTCCTCCTCCACCCAAAAGGGAGTCCACAGTCAGGACCTGCCTTCTCTACAGACTCACAGATGCCCACCTAGGGGTCCAGGAACTTGGGCCCCCCTCATCCATCCAGGAGCCTAGAAGTAGGTCTTTTCCCCACCTGGGGATCCTGGAGTTGGGGAGTCCCCTGGGAGCAGCCCCAGCCCCCTCCTAAGATCTCAGAGGCCGTCCTCAACCCACCCCTGGGAACCCAGCAGGCCCTCTCTGGCTTCACCCTCGGGGTTCTGACCCACCTGCTTGAACAGCTGCAGGTGTACAGCCCGCTGGTGGAAGGCCTGCAGGGGCGCCCCGGGCTTCTGGGCCAAGAAGGCTTCTTCACTGAAGGTTACAGGCTGGCCCTGGAAGAAGGAGCCCTGTCCTGAGCTCCCAGTGGCTCTCCCGATCCCAGCCACCTCCTTCATTCTACCGTAAAGCTGCCGTGCTCCTGACCCCCTGCAGGGACTCATGGGCCATGGGATGGTCTTTTACCTCTACAGAGTTGGGAGCCTTGCGAGAGCTGCAGAGCAGGTATGGTACCTGACTCAGGTGTTCCCAGGTAACCTCTGACCCCTGCTGGGAGGAGACTGTGGAAGGCAGGACAGAGCCAGTGTAGGGGGTGGGAAGTCCTAATGGGGAGGCCACTAGGGAGCGTTGGAGGTGAAAGCCAGATGTGTAAATGACCCTGGAATCCCCTATTCTATTAAAAGAATAGTTATGAAAAATGTGTGTGGGGATGAGGGAGCTTGAGAGCAGATCAGGGTTCTGGATTCCACTCTCCCACTCCACGTGGAGCTTCTCCAAGCCTCGGTTTGTCATCTACAAAATGGGGCTTTAACAGTAGCCATCTCAGCGTGAGCATTAAATAATAGCAAGACCTGGCGTTTATGGAGGACTCTGTATATGCTAACACGGTGCAAAGTGCCTGGAATACGCCGATTCGCCGACTCAAACAACCCTTTTGGGTGGGCACTACCGGCATCCCATTTTACAGGGGAGCAAACAGAAGCACAGGTCACTCCTCCACGAACGCTCCAAGTTATTAGCGTTGTGAATCCTTCAGGAACCCAGAGAGCGAGGGAGAGCGCGCACGCGGGAGCGAGCGAGAGCCACCTCTCTGCTGCATCTATCCCTGCTGCTCACCGGGCTGCAGACCAGCGCATCGCGGTAGCCGCCAAAGAGCAGGGCCTGGGCTTTGAGGAAGAGACGGGACACTCCTTCCCCGGGGCTCAGCGCGACCTTCCTTAATCTTAGCCTCAGCAAGGACACCTGTAGGTAGGGCCAGAGGGAGGCACTGAGTGAGTCAATGTGAGGTTTCCGGCTCCTGGAGAGGAGTGGGAGGGGGTGACCCTGACCACGTCTGGCGGCAGCGTCTGCACGTCTTCGAAGGGCGTCTCCAAGGTATTGGAGTCTATGTTCAGTACCACGACGTCCTCCAGGGCCTTGTCGCGCACTCTCTGCGAGGGATGGAAGATGCTCTCTCAGAGCCTGAGGATCCCTCCCAGGTGGGGAAGGGGACCCCTCCCGCCCCGCCACCTGCGGGGTGGCGGTGCGTTCTCACCTCGGCCAGACTTGCATGCACTCCAATGAGGTAGGGCATAGGCGCGCTGCGGACCGAGAGCCAGGGTCATGCAGGCACTGCCCCCACCCCAGGCCTCTTCCCTAGGCCTGCCCCCCCTTCCAGGCCCGCATTCCTCACCAGCAGTAATCCAGGAGGTGCGGGGGCAGCGTGGGGATCAGCACGTGTTCCCAGCGCATGGGGTACAGGAGAGCACAGGACGCGTGAACACAGGAAGTCAGCTGGGGACAGATGAAGGGTTTAGAGTTAGGGCCTCCTAACTTCAAGGACCCTCTCTAAGTCGATGGCTCAAACCTTCCCAATCTCTTATTTCTCCTCCTCCCTCACCCTGCGGAGAAATGGGGGAAAACTCGGACCCCTTTAGGAATCAGATGGAGACCAAGAATTTGTCTAATTACAGTCCGCTCTGGGTACCTGAGGATTCTGCAAACTCTGATTCAACCGACTTTGGGTCAAATATATTTAAAAAAAAAATGCATCTGTGCTGAAGGAGACTTTTTTCCCACGTCATTATTCCCAAACAATAGAGCGTAACAACTATTTACATAGTATTTACACTGTATGAGGTATTTGAAGTCACTTAGAGATGATTTAAAGTCCATAGGAGGACATGCATAGGTTCTATTCAAATACCATGCCATTTTAGATAAGGGACTTAAGCATCTGCTGATTTTGGTATCCTTTGGGGTCCTGGAAGCAATTCCCCCGAGGTTACAGTGTTACGGAGAACTGTCTCGTGCTTTTCAGTGGGTGGAGCCAAGACTTTGCCTGTCCTAATTCCTCCCTGTAAGGGGCAGAGTTAAGATTCAGCCCGCTCAGATCCCATTCCTAGGGACCGAGCCATGGCAGCCCTCCACTGACCCCAACCCCTAAAGAGGAGGGACTCTAAGGCAGCTCCCGGTTCCAGCTCACGGTTCCCCGGCCGGTGTGTTCAGATCCCACCCATCTATTCCCCTAGGGGCGGAGCTAGAATTTAGGGCTCTAGGATCTTATCCTCCAGAGGGGCGGAGCCAAGCCTGCCCAAGGAGGAGGAGCTACACCACACGCACTCGCGTTCCACCAGACAGGGCGGGTCAGGTGGAGCTCCCACTGTCAGCCCCTCCCACTGTGTCCTCCCCCCCGGGTGGATCCTGGCCTTGTCCTCTCCCCCGCCTCACCGTGCTGAGCTTGCTGGCAGTGAGCAGGACTCTTCGCTCGGCTAAGAGCGCGGCGAACAGGCCCACGATGTTCTCATCTGTCACTGCCACCACCAGCTCCGTTAGGTTTCTCTGAGGAACAGAGGGGCACGCGCTGAGCGTGGGCAGACGCCAAGATCTGGCGTTCCACTCTGGGTTCTGGGACCTCTGCCCGCCCCCGGAGTTCCCTCCCGCGTCCCTACTTACATTCTCAGGAATGGAGGGCAGGGAGCCGGAGTCCGGAGCCACGAAGCAGGAAAGCTGGTGGGGGCATTGGTGGGGGTAAGCAATCAGTCTGCGAGTTGACCTCACCTGGGTGCCCAACCTTCCAGGGACCCGATTCCCGCTCACCAGCCTGCTGTTCCCGGGGGCAGGAGGGAGTATTCCGTGCACACCAGAGATGGTCACTCCACCGCCCTGGGGGACAGGTATAGCTGCGTGTTCCTCAGGGCTGGGGTACATCCTCCCCATCCATCTAACGTCCGTGGCCCAGGAGTTGGGAGCTACTCACCAGCTCCGGCCCTCTTGAGACCTGGGGCCCAGGAGGGGGCTGCTGCAGCAGATTTAGAAGAAGTTCTTCAGCCTCGGAGACCTGGGTGGAAGTCGGGGAGTGTCTGAACCAGGAGGAGGGTTTGGGACTCTGAGGGCCTTGGCTCAGGCCAGGTGGCCTCGGAGGTGCTGAGGGACTCAGGACCGGTCTGGGAGTTCAGCGAGGGGCTGGAGACAAGATGGGGCAGGGGCTGGGACTCTGGCAGGAGTGAAAGGGGAGCTGGTCTCACTTGGTCCTGAGCTAGGAGGTCCCCCACTGTGTTCAGTAGCTTGTAGAACACCTCGAACCATGGCAGGTGACTGCGGAGAGAGGAGGGGCTGAATGGAGTACCGTGGCCGTGGCCGAGGCTTGGTGCTTCCCACCCTGTCCCAGGCTCTCTTTCCATACCTGAGGATGCATAGACAGCTCTGCGCACCAGCTCGCAGGCGGCAGAAACCGAATCTGCGGTTGCCGGCCAGGTCGGTGAGGGCGAATGTGAAATGCTGGACGGCAGGGCTGGGGGGCTCCCTGGAGGTGGGCAAGACTCTCTCGGGGAGTCCTGATAATCCAGCTCCCCATGCCCTACTCCCTCCAACCATGCCCCCAGTGCTGTGCCCACCAGGCTGGACTTTGGGTGTTCCGGTCCCTGGTTTGTGGATCATTTGGTACCTGAGACCATGAGTTCATGGGTCCTTGGGTTTCTATGCATTTAGGTCACTAGTTACCCAGGCCCCTGATTGTCTGGGTCCCTGGGTCTCCAGGTCCCTGGGTAATGGGTCTCCAGATGTCTGAATTGCTGTGTGTTTAACACTTAGGGTCCCCGAGAGCCTGGGGTCCCTTTGTCTCTGCTCCTTTCCATACCTTTCTACATCAAAAGGAAAGCAAAACTTGGGCACCATCTGCATGGCTTCCTGGAAAAAGGAGAGAAGCAGACTGACAATCAGATCAGGATCCGTGGGTTCCAGTCCAAGCACAGAGCCTCAGCCCTCTAGGGACTGGCCCTGGCCGGAAGGAGCAGGAGGCCCGCCTGAGTACCTGGTCCCTGAAGTCTGGGGGGAACTGCCGAAGAATGGGAGGATCTGCAGGGAGAGTGGGCTGCTAAGTCCAGGGCGTCAGGCCCCTCCTCCATCCCCACCCCCAGGGCCCCAAACTCACCTTCCTGTAGGGAGGCAGGGCAGGCTGCCTCGAAGAACCAATCAAACACCGCTGGGGGACCCCCTCTGTGGGACAGAAGAGGGCTTAGAGGACCCAGGGACTTGTTTCTGCATGTGACTTGTGCCTGTGTGTGTGAGCAGGTGTGCTGGTGTGTGACTGGTGTCTGTGGTGGCGTGTGTGGCTGTGGGAAGCTCTAGGTGCAGGCCTGTGAGTGTGCAGCAGAGCCAGAGAGCACAGCAGTGTGGATCGCTGGATGCCTGCTTATATGAGTGTGTGTGTGTGTGTGTGTGTGTGTGACAGAGCAAGTGTGCGGATGACCATGGCTGTGCGTGTTTTGGGTGAGTGGGCATCTTTGTGGTTTGCCTCTGTGCCCCTGGGTGAGGTTTTCCTGGGTCCCCATGGCTGACCCCACCTTCCTCACTAGAGGAAGGACAGCAGGATGCCCTGGTGCTTACTGTGAGCCCTGCAACCACCCCCACCTTCCCTGCCCCCACACCATGCAGAGGATGCTGGGACTTGGGCTCCAGGAGAGAGATGGCAAGACCCAGAGGAGACCCCTGAAGACACACGGTGCTGTCCACGGAGTCCCTGGCACTTTACCCTCATTCGGGCACGAGTCAGGCACCCACCCATGTGGACACACGGCTTCTCCCCCCCTCACATCACCCACTCTGCTGACTCCCAGAGCAGCCACTCACACCCCCCAGAGGCACAGTCCAGAGGAGCCGGTGAAACCACCCAGAGCTGGAAGGAGAGAGAGGAGGGGCCGAGCATGGCCCAGCAGGCCCCAGAGAACACACAGGGGAGGCCAGCTGAGGTCCTGCCCTGATGCCTGCCGCCTGTCCCAATGGGTCACTGTACCTCCCTGGCCGGCCCCCCGCCATAGCTCCCCACTGCCCCGGCCCAGGCCTGGGAATCTTGGCCCACAGGATGAGGGAGGGGCAGCTCTTACTCAGCTCTGGATCCCATGGTCCCTGCAGGGCTGGCCCGGCTGGGCCCTTTCCCCAGGGGTCCTGGGGGCCTGTGCTTGCCTGGGGCTGGGCCCTGAGCCGGCTCGGCTTCCTGTGTGGCTGACAGAGGAAGTTTAACGGGTGACGTCCTCCCTGACGGAGGCCCCTGCCCCCACCCACTGTGAGAAACCTAGGCGTCCGGCTGCTTAGGCTTCTCTGGGATGGGTGGCAGTAGGGTCAGGCTCAGAGGCTGAGCCTTCAGGTCATCCTGGAGGCTGGCCTATGTCCTGTCCCCACGGTCACACTCAGGCCTTCCCCTCTCCTTCCTTACTTCAGGGAAGGCGAGGATTCAGTCTGCAGAAAGTGCTTCCTCTTCCTTGCACTCTTGCTCTTTCCCTGGGTCCATTCTCACCAGCCACCCCACACCCAGCACCGCCAGAGGGAGGTGGCCCAAGGAAAGGACACACGGGAGCCAAGGAGGGGGCGCAGAGGTCGACACAGGCAGAGCAGCAGACAGGCCCCCCACACAGTCATACTCGCTCATACAAACAGCCCCAGATGAGGGACAGGCAGGGGAGTCGGAGGGCGGGGGCTCACTGAACACCGGAGGGCTGCTCAGGGGTTTGGCCTGGTCCCTGTGATTCCCAAGCCTCTGCTCCCATCCCCCTGAGATAGCTGAGCCTTTGGCACCCACCTCCACCCTCTAGGGAGAAGCCCCTGCTTGCTGCACAAGGTGATGAAGTGAACTCCACAGAAAACACCAGGCAAGGACTCATTTATTCATCCAGGGTCAGGCAGAGGAGGGGTAGTCGGGAGTGCTCCCTGACAGTGCTCCCAGGGAAGCCAAGGTAGGAGGCGTCCAGGGAGAGAAGTCAGGGAGGGAATGGGAGCTGATGAGAACCAGAGAGAAGGCGGTGAGAGGGGAGCAGGGGTTCCTGAGGTCAAAGATGAGGCTTGGCTCCGAGCGAAGGGTCAAGAGCAAACCAGGGCTTATGGGGCTTGGGGGTGCCAAAGGTGAGGGAGTTGGGATAAAGGAGGGTTAATAAGGAAGGGGGGGGGATGCACGTCGAAGGGCTAGAAAAGGTGAAGCAAGGCTTAGTGAGGTGTCCAAGTTGGAAGATGTCCACGGGGGTTTGGAGATAAGGTAGGGTTCCAGGTCAAAGCTGGGCTAGGGTCGGAGACAGGTGACCAGAGGTGATGTGAACTCCGCAGTATGGTTAGGGTCAAGGCAGAGTGACCATGGATGGAGGGGTCCTAGGGTCAGGCTGGGTGGGGAGGTCATGAGGTTCTTGGGGTTGCAGAGGAGGCAAAGGTCAACGGTCAGAGGCCTGGCTGGGGGTGTGGGCAGACGGGAGGTAAACGCCGGGGTCCTAGGCCACTTCCTCCTCCGCCTCCTCCTCGAACTCGCCCTCCTCGGCCGTGGCGTCCTGGTACTGCTGGTACTCGGACACCAGGTCGTTCATGTTGCTCTCGGCCTCCGTGAACTCCATCTCGTCCATGCCCTCGCCCGTGTACCAGTGCAGGAAGGCCTTGCGCCGGAACATGGCCGTGAACTGCTCCGAGATGCGCTTGAACAGCTCCTGGATGGCCGTGCTGTTGCCGATGAAGGTGGCCGCCATCTTGAGGCCGCGGGGCGGGATGTCGCACACGGCCGTCTTCACGTTGTTGGGGATCCACTCCACGAAGTAGCTGCTGTTCTTGCTCTGGACGCTCAGCATCTGCTCGTCCACTTCCTTCATGGACATGCGGCCCCGGAACACGGCGGCCACGGTCAGGTAGCGGCCGTGGCGCGGGTCGCACGCGGCCATCATGTTCTTGGCGTCGAACATCTGCTGGGTGAGCTCGGGCACGGTCAGCGCGCGGTACTGCTGGCTGCCCCGGCTGGTCAGCGGCGCGAAGCCCGGCATGAAGAAGTGCAGGCGCGGGAAGGGCACCATGTTCACGGCCAGCTTGCGCAGGTCGGCGTTGAGCTGGCCCGGGAAGCGCAGGCAGGTGGTGACCCCGCTCATGGTGGCCGACACCAGGTGGTTGAGGTCCCCGTAGGTGGGCGTGGTCAGCTTGAGGGTGCGGAAGCAGATGTCGTAGAGCGCCTCGTTGTCGATGCAGTAGGTCTCGTCCGTGTTCTCCACCAGCTGGTGCACCGACAGCGTGGCGTTGTAGGGCTCCACCACCGTGTCCGACACCTTGGGCGAGGGCACCACGCTGAAGGTGTTCATGATGCGGTCCGGGAACTCCTCGCGGATCTTGCTGATGAGCAGCGTGCCCATGCCTGAGCCTGTGCCGCCGCCCAGCGAGTGGGTCAGCTGGAAGCCCTGCAGGCAGTCACAGCTCTCCGCCTCCTTGCGCACCACGTCCAGGACGGCGTCCACCAGCTCCGCGCCCTCGGTGTAGTGGCCCTTGGCCCAGTTGTTGCCGGCTCCCGACTGGCCTGGGGCGGGGAGAGGAGCCCAGCACAGGCATTGACCTCCACCCAGTCTACCCGGTATCTGGAGGGCCCCCGGCTAGTTGAACAAGAACGCTGGCCAAGTGCCCCTGAGTTCAAACCCTGGTACTCCTCCCCCACACACACACACAAAAAATCCTTTCTTCTAAGTGTTGGAAATGTACAGCACATGGTTGCCGTCTGTGCTCACCTCACTGCACAGTGGCACAAATTGCTATCCTTATCATTAACTGTTCTCTCTGCTTCCCTCCAGGTTTGTCCAGCAGCCAGAGGATGGGAAACCAAAATCAGGTTGGGTCCTACCTTAGTTCAAAACCATCCCCAGATGCCCCTCCTGTCTTTTGCGGCACTGGGGATCGAACCCAGGGCCTCTCCACCCACCGCTGAACTGCACCCCCAGCCCTTCTTCATTTTTGTTTTGAGACTTGCTAAATTGCCCAGGTTGGCGTCAGAATAGCTGGATGAAGGCGTGCACCACGGAGCCCGTCTCCCCTACTCCTGTCTTTGACCAGTAGCCGACCTGCGGACCTGCGCTATCCGGCCTGGCCTCCTCCCTCCCTCCCCCGCATTTCCTCTGCCAGCCACCAGGGCTCCTCCAACACGCCAGGCTTGGTCCTGGGATGTGCCTCTGCCGGGAATGCTGTGCCCCCAGGTTCCTCCTTCAAGACTTCGTGGGGCTCAGCAATTGCCACTCGTGGCTCAACCCCTGACTTCTCTCTCCTCGTCCCTGTGGTACTGACAACTTGTTTTCATATTAATCATGTTTATTGCCTGGAATCTCACAGAGGAATGCAAGCGGCAGGAGGACAAGGTCAAGTACTAGAATACTGGCTGTTATTCCTGGTCTAGCTCCATCCTCACCCACCTGAAACGGGCTCCCGACCCCACCCTGTCTTCTGTGCAGCCGCCAGAGGGCGCCCGTGAATACCTGACCCTCAGCTCCACCTTGTCTTTCACCTCCCAAAGCCCAGGGGGCTGCGTCCCCACCAGGGAACCTGCTCCAGCCTCCAGGGCTTCCTCATTGTTCCCCTAACAGGCCAGACTGGGTCTGCCTCAGGCCCTTTGCACTGGTGGTTCTGGCTGCCTGGGATTCTTTTTCCTCAGGGCTCCTCCCTCACTTTCTGCTCAATGTCACCTATTCAGAGAAGACAATCCCCAGATAGGCTAAGGATCCAACATATGGACCCTCCTCCGTGCCCTTAGATTGTTTTTATTTTTCTTCCTACACCTGCCGCTCTCAACCTTATGCATGTTGTGGTGTGTTTATCTGAGGGACTCCCATGTCTGACTCCTGGCTGGAGCAGACCCAAGGGGAGGAAGACTTGTCTTGGCTGTGTCTGGAACACAGTCTTTTAGAGCCAGGAGCCTTCAAAGGCCCTAAGCTTGGGCACATCCTGCATCTCTGAATCCTTCCCCCAGTTCTCTGAGGTACTTACATACTTTTGGGGGAGGGTAGTGGGGATTGAGCACAGGTGTGCTTTACCACTGAGCTGCAGCCCCAGCCCTTTTTGTCTTTTATTTTTAGTCAGGATCTTGCTAAGAAGCTGGCCTCACATTTGTGATCCTCCTGCCTTGGCCTCCCAAGTTGCTGGGATTACAGGTGTGTGCCACAGTGCTCAGCTTACATATTCTTTTTACTTCCATTTTACAAATGAGAAATGAAGATTCAGAGAGACTAGCTCCTAGGTGAAAAGTCACACTGCAAGCAAGTGGGACAGCTAGGGCTCTGAGCAGATGGTCTGGCCCGAGTCCACACTTTCAGCCTGTACCATAGAATCACTTGGCCCAATTGTGAGCCACCCGTGGTCATTTAAAAAGGCCTCAAACCTCCGTTGTGTCTCTTTCCACAGCCATTCCTGAGGACCCATTAGGAATCATGCCCACATTGGTGCATCATTATCTCTCAGAATCTTTGTGTAGATCAGAGAGGGGAAGTCACTTGTCCAAGGTCACACAGCTTATTCAGTCTTCAGACTCAAACCACCTTGCTCAGAGGAAAAGGCTTGCAGGGGTTCTGGGGCCTAGGTCAGGTTAGGGTATATGTGACCAGCCCAATCTTGAAAAGAGCTCCCAATAAGGACTATGACTGAGCACGAGGACTCCCTTGAGTCTAAGTTCCAAAACTGTGCTTACTGACTTTGCATATGGTATTCTCTCCAAGTCCCTTGGCCAGTCCTTGTCCCACTGTCCCGTTAGGTGGCAGGTATTTATAATGATAATGGAAACAACTACAATACATGCTTGTTTACCCTTTCCTCTATGCCAGCTCCACACACAGTGGTTCTGAACAGTGGATCATCTATATCCTTGTTCTGAAGATGAGGAAACTGAGTCATGAAAGGTTATGGAGCCCGTCCAAAGTCACCGAGCTGACAGTCCAAGGCTGAGCTGTACTGCGGGATCTCTGCAGCGGGCTCCCCACCAGGATGGCCGCTCCAGGGCCTGGGTAGGGAGTGGGCCCCGACAGCAGACAGCTCAGGTTGCTTTGTTCTGCTGAACCCCAGCTTCTGGTGCAGGGCCTGGCATGTCGTCAGAGCTCATTAACTCTTTGTCCAGTGCATGAGTTGGCAGAGCTCGGGGCTTGCACCCTGCAACCTGGCTCTAGTCCGACTGTTCAGTTAAAATGCCACCTCGTCCAGGAAGCCCACCAGATCCCTCTGCTGTCCAGGCCCTCCCCAGGGCCTCCACCCTGACCTGTTTGACCCCATCACGTCCCTGACTTCTCTGTCCATTCTGGGACTCAGTGGTCACTGCCAGCTCTGGTGCTAGGTAGGGAATTTTCATCAAGGCACCTGGGAATGAAGGGATAAGGGGCTCCTTTCCTTGGGCCCCACTCCTGGAACTCACCAAACACAAAGTTGTCTGGCCGAAATATCTGGCCAAAGGGGCCCGAGCGGACGGAGTCCATGGTGCCAGGCTCCAGGTCCACCAGCACGGCTCGGGGCACGTAGTTCCCTCCTGCAGGGAGGCAGATGGAGGGCAGCTGGTGTGAGCGCCAGGAGCCACAGGCGCCTGAGAGCATCCTGTCCCCTCCCAGCCAACGCACACCCCCACACCAGAAGGTGCCCCCCACCCTACCTGTGGCCTCATTGTAGTAGACATTGATCCTTTCCAGTTGCAGGTCACTGTCCCCATGGTATGTGCCGGTGGGGTCGATGCCATGTTCATCACTGATCACCTCCCAAAACTA